CAAACTGTCACAGACTGTCACAAACTGTCTCAAACTGTCTCAAACTGTCACAAACTGTCACAAACTGTCTCAAAACTGTCTCAAACTGTCACAGACTGTCACAGACTGTCACAAACTGTCTCAAACTGTCACAGACTGTCACAAACTGTCACAAACTGTCTCAAACTGTCTCAAACTGTCTCAAACTGTCTCAAACTGTCTCAAACTGTCACAGACTGTCACAGACTGTCACAGACTGTCACAAACTGTCACAGACTGTCTCAGACTGTCTCAAACTGTCTCAAACTGTCACAAACTGTCACAGACTGTCACAGACTGTCTCAAACTGTCACAGACTGTCTCAAACTGTCACAGACTGTCACAGACTGTCTCAAACTGTCACAAACTGTCACAGACTGTCACAGACTGTCACAGACTGTCACAGACTGTCACAGACTGTCTCAAACTGTCACAGACTGTCACAAACTGTCACAAACTGTCACAGACTGTCACAAACTGTCACAGACTGTCACAAACTGTCTCAAACTGTCACAAACTGTCACAAACTGTCTCAAACTGTCACAGACTCACAGACTGTCACAGACTGTCACAGACTGTCACAGACTGTCACAGACTGTCACAAACTGTCACAGACTGTCACAGACTGTCACAAACTGTCACAGACTGTCACAGACTGTCACAAACTCTCAAACTGTCACAAACTGTCACAGACTGTCACAGACTGTCACAAACTGTCACAGACTGTCACAAACTGTCACAAACAGTTACAGACTGTCACAGACTGTCACAGACTGTCACAAACTGTCACAGACTGTCACAAACTGTCACAAACTGTCACAGACTGTCACAGACTGTCACAAATGTCACAAACTGTCACAGACTGTCACAAACTGTCACAAACTGTCACAGACTGTCTCAAACTGTCTCAAACTGTCACAGACTGTCACAGACTGTCACAGACTGTCACAAACTGTCACAGACTGTCTCAGACTGTCTCAGACTGTCTCAAACTGTCTCAAACTGTCACAAACTGTCACAAACTGTCACAAACTGTCACAGACTGTCACAGACTGTCACAGACTGTCTCAAACTGTCACAGACTGTCTCAAACTGTCACAGACTGTCACAGACTGTCACAGACTGTCTCAAACTGTCACAGACTGTCACAAACTGTCACAGACTGTCACAGACTGTCTCAAACTGTCACAGACTGTCACAGACTGTCA